TGATGATGATGATGATGATATCTATTTTGTATTGGCATTTGCTTTCAAAATTTTGAAACGACATTCCCAAATCAAAACTTGATTCAGAATGAAATCAAGAGGAGCTTCATTCCGGTATTACTTGCTACCATTCAGTCCAAAACATTACGTCATCTCGTCTTCTGTCTAAAAACAGAAGAATTGGAATATACAAAACTATAATTTTGCCTGTGGCTCTGTATGGGTGTGAAACTTGGTCTCTGACGTTAAGGGAGGAACATAGACTGAGGGTGCTGAGGAGAATATTTGAACCAAAGAGAGATGAAGTGACGGGAGATTGGAGAAAAATGCATAATAAGGAACTTCATTACTTGTACTCTTCGTCAAATATAATTAGAATGAGCAAGTCAAGGAGGATGAGGTGGTCAGGGCATGTAGCACGAACGGGGGAGAAGAGAAATGTATATAGGATATTAGTAGGAAAGCCAGAAGGAAAGAGACCACTAAGAAGACTAAGACGTAGGTGGGTGGACAATATTAAAAAGGATATTAAGAGAGGTAGAATGGGGTGGTATGGGCTGGATTGATTCTGGCTCAGGATAGGGATCAGTGAAGGGCTCTTGTGAACACCGTAATGAACCTTCGAGTTCCATAAATTTATCGGAAGTTCTTGAGTAGCTGCACAATTGGCGGCTTCTCAAAAAGGGATCAGTACCATGATGTTCCTTTAGTTAGTTGTTGCAATTTGCTTCTGAATTCAGAATATTTCCATTTGAGTCTGTTGAAGTAACGTAAAGGCAATCTGCGCAATACAAACAATGAAGTATTATTTTAATGGCAGTGACAGTGGCAGTAACATTTCCTTAAGACTTTTAAAGAAAATTGAAAGAAGCTAGACATGTCTGGAAATTAGTTCAATCGAAAATACATATCATTTACGGGAGATTAATTTAGAGACGAGGCATTATATTTAAATGGGCCCCTGATTACATGTATTTCAGTCGATGTAGAGGTCAATGATTGGACGACCGAGGAATCGGGGTTCGTTTCCAGCAGGAACCAGGTTGTATTCTCGTCTCCACAGCTTCCAGACCGGCTCTGGCGCCAACTCAAGTTTCTTGTCCGATGGGTAACGGGGGACTTTCCCCTGCGGGGCGTGCAGCTAATGACTTCCCTTGTCCATATAATGCTGAAGTTAAAAATGCGTAGAGATGCACGTTCCCGCCCCCTTTATCTTAAAGGTGAAGTGGTTAATGAAGCACAGGAAACAGTTTGCTTCTTTACTTTATTTTTTGTTTTTTTTTATTGCTAGTCCCTTGCACTGCGGCCACTTCTGGCCTATTGTACCCAGATGATAGGTGAAGGTGATTGTGGAGCAGCTGGTGGAATGAAGATTGGCAAGGAAACCGAAGTACTCAGAGAAAACCTGTCCCAACGCCACTTTGTCCACTACAAATCTCACTTGACCAGACCCGGGATCGAACCCGAGCCACCGCGGTGAGAAGCCAGCGACTAACTGCTTGAGCTATGGCGCGGCTTTATTTTTGTTAGAAACGTCTTACTGTGCTGGGCATGTCGCTAGGATGAAATAATCGAATAAATAAGTTTGGTATGGGAAGTTTTTTTGAAAGTGGCAGTCTTCAAGATCAACACGGATATATTGAAATGTTATTAAAACGAATGAAGAGAAAATTAATGTAATGAACTCGATTTTATTAACATTGGTTCCAGCTGAACGGAAATTAATAATGAGGTAAGGTACATCTGCCGGTCACGGTAGTCGAGCAGTCTGATGCATGTACTGTCTTCGCTCGCTCGGAAGCAGGGTTCGTGGGTTCGAGTCCCACACAAGGCATGGATGTTTGGTGTGTCTATGCGTTTATTCTATGTTTGTGCTGTCCTATATTTAGGTAGATGCTTTCCGACGAGCTGATCACACGTCACCCATGTAGACATCCATGCCTCGAGTGGGATTCCAACCCACGATCCCAGCGTCCGAGCGAGCGAAGACAGTCCATGCTCTAGACCTCGCGGCCACTGTGACCGGCACCCAACATGAATAGGATAATCAAATCAAGGAGGATTAGATGTAAAGGACATGTAATAAGCATGGGAGAAATGAGAAATGCATACAAAATTTTAATCTGAAAAACCGAAGAGAAGAGATCGTTAAGAAAACGTAAGCGTGTAAAGGAGAATATTAAATAAATATTGTGTAAGGGAGAAGAGAAATGCATATGTGGTTTTGGTGGGAAATCCCTAAGGAAAGCTGAGACGTAGGCGAGAGGATAATATTAAGATGGATCTTAGAGAAGTAGGATGGGATATATCGGACTTGATTTGTCTGGCTCAGGATAGGGACTAGTGACGGGCTGTTGTGAATACAGTAATGAAATTTCAGGTTCCATGATATGTCGGGAAACTTTTTTGAATAGCTGAGCGACTAGAGGCTTCTCAAGGATTCAGCTCCCTGTAGTCAGCTGGTTGGTTGGTAAGTAAATGTGCGGACCAGTTTCGTTTGACTCAGGACAAGGATCTCGATTTTAAAGACTGATGTTAAATGGAGAGGAGTCGGCTCCTTTGAGTTTGTTTGCTCCAGTGGAGCACACCTTTTCACTTTGTTACGAAGCCGCTGTTACCGAGAACGAGAGCAGTAACGCAG